GACATCATCAGCTTCCAACTCATGCCCCTAAACCTTACTATTACTTTCATGTACATTAACAATCTTTTATACTTATTCAGAACAATCCTTTCAAAGGTTTGTTAGTTGACCAAACTGTCCTATTTGTGTATACCATTCCAGTGTATTACTGTAAAAGGTTAGAGAGGGGATAATACAAATTGACATGTTTTATGGAATACCACCAATTACAGAGTATGCCATTATCAGATATTCATGTATGAATTGCCTGAATGAAGACCCCTCCCCTTTATAAGTGTAACCCAGGAAATGGAGAGTCCGGCTTTTCGGGGAATGCAGACTTAGCTGCTAGGAGGAATGCAGACTTACATGCCACTGGTATATTGTATGTGGTGCAAAACAAAACCTTTGTTTAATTTGCATGTGACAGTTAAAAAGAAATTACAATATTCAAATGCAGAACCTCCATTGTAATTTAGCAGAGTATAGCAAAAAGTATGGAAATTTGGTCTAAACAATAGTGCTTGTACAGCCTCAATGGGCATAACTAAATGTAAGCGATTATCAATTATCGATTTTTTTTTTTCTATGCCAGGCATTTCAGAAGGGAAGGCCAGTGATGACAGCTTATAATTATTTTAAATGGATAAAACAGCTGAGATATTTGTCAAAGCAACATATGATCAATTAAATTATGCGGTAAATAAAAATGAAAATCTCTGCGAAACAGTCATCTTGCAACATGTGCATTTGCAAGCAGTGTTAAGCCAGGAATGATCACATGCAGCAGAAAATAATTGTATACTTTAATTATGATTTAGTACAGTAACACTACAAATAGTAATCCCATTGTTGCCACATTACTTTTTGGTAACAGGCCAGTTGCACCACATCACATTTTAGACTAAATTTATGGTCAAGCCATGTTTTCATACCTGCATTCCAGGCTAACAACTATACAGTATACATTGGTGAAAAACATGTAAGGATAATATTTTTCCAGCAAAAGGATTTGCAATTCTGATAATCCAGTTCTGAGATTTACATAGCTCTGTCACACACAGGGGCGGACTGACAGCTCATGGGGCCCCCGGGCAATAGGGGATCATGGGGCCCCTGTGTCCTTGCCCAAACTCAAAAAAGCGTATGAAAAAGGTACCAGGGGCATCTCATGGGGCCCCCTATGGACCCTGGGCCCCCTACGAACCCTGGGCCCTTGGGCAGTGCCCGAGTTTCCAAATGGTCAGTCCACCCCTGGTCACACAGACTGTCTAGAAGGACAAGAGACCTGATTTTTTTCTTTGCTGCAATTCTATAACACTTACAGATTTTATCTCTACCCCAACCTGTGACTTAACAGTGAAAGGAGAAGCAGGAGACTGATGAACTCTCTGTGATACTGTGCTCTGCTATTAGCATATTCCTAGCACTGCAACACAACTAATTGGCATCTTAAGCTGTTTTTACTCTCCCAATCTGATTTCAGCTGTACAGGGGCTGCAAGAAACTGACAACGCAAATTCAGGTACTTACACTAATTAAATAAAAAAATAATACATTTGCGGATGTATAACTAAGTACATGGCAGTATTTACAGCCTGGAATTCAGCTGTAATTAATCTATAAAAAGTAGGAATTCGTTCAAACTATATGGCAGTTTCAAGAACCTTGCTTTAAGTTTGAGAAATTTGCGTTGAACCTCATTGAAATCTATGGAGGAAGAATCTTCATTATTTAATTCTGGCCATTTGTAGGGCTAATAAGCAAGCTATTGTTAAATAAAAGGCATAGGAAGTCAGGCACTGCCATGGAGGGAAGGGAGCATGTACTAAAGCCAAAACAAAAAGCAAAACTAAAAAAAAAAAATGTAAAAATGTATCTATTCTATCTATTCACATTACTGTTAGCTCTCCCAAAGAGCTCCAAAACACAATGATACATTTTGCTGTTGTAAGCAAACTCATTTATAGAAAATGGTCTGGGTTATCTATTTCTTCCTTCAAATGATTGGCTTTTCTGACCAGGATTAAAGCCTATGCACTGCATTATAGATTCTCCCTATTTTTGGCTGAGAACCTGCATGTTTTGGGGCAACAGTTGGTGATTTGAAAGGCTCATAAATCATGGAGATTTGCTGAAAACCCATGGTAGTGGCGAAACCAAAATGTATCCCTGATGACCATATATACTATAATATCTCTGTTCAATGCTATGTAACAAGACTAAGGTTAATTTGAAAAAAAAAAAATGAAAAATTACCTTTACTTCTTGAGTTAAGGATAATTTGCACTTGTTGAACAAATCTCACTCAATTCATTAACATCTCTTTATTACGTACAGTATATCCTAAAAACACTAGCATAATGGGCCTGGAATAAAGAACTGGACAGCACCAATTTACTTAATGCAGCTCCATATTACACAGTGCTATGTTGAAACCTACAGCAGTCAATCAGAGCAGCGTTCATTAGTACGACTACAATAAACATTTCAAATTTATTTTCTGATTAGTTTCTGTAGGCCAGACAAGTCATTAATATCTGCATTAAGTATTTAAAAAAGCCCCAAGACATGTATAAACAAGACATTTGCCTTCAGTAAATAAGTCATTAAACTATGTTCACAAATGTCTTGTATTTATTTTACAAAAGAAGCCACAAAATATTGTGATGTAACAGATGTGTTAATTAGACATGCACACCAAGTTCAAACAAGGTAACATGCAGTTTCATCTTCAGCAATGATTCAAAAGAAAATTAAAAAAGAGTTGCACCAACACAGCAATATGGTTACTTGATATTTCAGGTTTGGTAATGATCTCCCAATATTTTAACCTGGACACAGGTGCAGAATGTGCATGCATGCCTTATTCACTGACTAAGTTAATTTTGCACTTATTATATGTCCATTCTGATCACCAATCAAATGTCATTTTATTGTTTATGGTGGTATGACAGAAAACATATTCCTTAATTAGCCCCTTATGTTTTGATGCACCAACCTTCTACCACATTAGATGCAATGTCCACATTTTTGTTCAACCTTTCTCAGTACATGCTCATTCTTTAAAGCATTTTCCATTACATTCCTGTTACGTTCTGTACATTTCAAAACTGAGTCTTTTCTTATATTCATATATATTTTCCTTCAGGTTATAGTTCATCTTCATTTTTCAATTCGTAATCTATCAACAGGTATTTCTGACCATTTATATGTATTTCAACTTGTTTAGTTTCTTGGCATTGGTGTACAATGTACATTGGTGTCTCAAAAGAAAGGAGCAAGGACTGCACAAGTGTTATTCTACCTCTGCATGTTACAAAACATCTAAGCAACAGAACTTCCAACAACATTTTTACTAAAAGAGCAAAGAATATCAGAGATGATTATCTGCAAAATTAGAAGTGAACTCTGGCTGGCCTCCATACGTTAGGCTGCATTCCTGTTTTCGCAGCAGAGAACCTGGGTTTTGGCACCTGGATTCTAGAAATTGGTGCTCTGGGATTGGTGACAGAACTTGTAGGACTTAAAACTGTAGCAGCATTATAATTCTCATGTGGAGATTCCAGAATAGGAGAATGATATTGTGCAGTGCCAGAAACTTTGGCAGGCCTAGGCTGGTTGGTCAGATCTGTTCTCCAAACTGGTTCTGCAAGCGTTGTTGCTGATCGGGGGGTTAGCACAGTTGGAGTCATGTTTACAGATGATGACATTGGAGTTGGAGTTGAGAAGCGCTTAATCTCATGAGCTCTAGTTTTCACAGGAATCTGTCTGCCTTGACTCACAGAGAGATTTGGTTTTGGGGCATCCTGTCTAGAAGAATCAGCAAAACAGAACATTGCTGGATTGAGCTGGTAAGGTTGATGACGCATAAAATCAATAGCTTGCATTCTCGGCTTACCAGCAACACCTTTTTTCACTTTGCTTTCTACCTTGCTCCCTTGAGATTTTGAGGCTGCTAATGGACAAAATGGAGACACCAAAGGATTGTATGCAATTGGAGGTGGTGCACGAATATTTGGTGAATATTTCCAAGAGGAGGGAAGAGATGGAGTTGGTGAAGGTGTTCTTGGCCTTGAGTTAGGTCTGGATTGAGATCTGTGTTCTGAGTCTACCACGAATTTGTCCACACGGCTTTGTCGTTTTGCAAACAACTCTGCTCCTTTACCTTTCAGCTGGGGGAAATCTTGGCACCCATTAACAAATTCTTCTACAGGTGCTTTTAAAATAGGTTTTGGAGCCACAGGTGGAGGAACTTTATTTTTTCGTGCTGAAGGCTGCATAAAATTGCAAGCTTCAGCACCTAAGCTAAGAAAATCCTCTTCTGGGCCAGACTCAAATCCTGTTGCATGTTGGGGTTTGTCATCAAGGTTCTGAACCATAGTCAAAAGTTCTGGGTTAGGTTGGTATTTTTTTTCCTCTTTTTTAACAAACATCTGTTTCCTCCCCCCTCTTTTCCGAGCGTCGTCGTTTAAGATACCAGTGCGCCCAGCAGGCACAGAGATTTTTTGTTCTCTTGAAGTTGCAGAATCTGGGGATTGGACTGCTGGTGACAGATAAGATGTGTGACTTGCAGGACTCATATACTGTGATGCTGTAGGTGTCACTGGGGTTGCTGGAGCATTAGGTACAAGATTTGATTGTGAAGTAATTGGTGGTGGTCCTGATGGACGTGATGGAGATGAGAGATATATTGAAGCAGTAGTAGTCCGTGGTGTCCCTGCTGCTGGAATATAAAGAGATGCAACTGAGCTAACTGGAGTTTTTTGAGGACTTATAGATGTGTCAGGTGTAAGTGGTGTGAATGGAGGAGGAGCAATATTTTGCACTGGTGTGCTTTCATTTTTTTTTGCTGGCATAGGATTAAATATGACTGATGAGGCTACAGATCGTTGCTCTACTTGACCTGGAGTAAATGGTCGTGCAGACCTGTTGAAGATCGCCATTCCAGAGACTGGTGACTGGGTATTACCAAGTTGTGGAGATAGAGTGTTAGCGGGGGCTAGTGATATCTGTGCACTTGTCACTTTTATGTTCTCTGAGCCTTGAGCCTGCTGGCTTCTTTCTAAATTAACCTGATGGTTCACATTTCCATTGACCATTGACTTCCGAGGAGGGGCAATGGGAGTTTTTTGAAAAATCTGAGGGTTTTGTACTGAAATATTTTCAACAGCATGTTCTGACCTTTGCCTTTGCAGTTCAAACAATGCTGCACCTTTGCCAGATGCCTCACTCAAACCCTTTTCTTCCAGATGTTCATGTTCCATCTTTGGCTTTTCAATGTCAAGATATGTGCTGTCCCAATCAGAATTGTTTGTTAGACTACGTGCATCAGAAAAGCCTTCCTCATCAAATTCTGATTCACTTGTTGGAAGGACACCGTCTTCGTCTTCAATGTAACGATCTTCGTCTACACTTCCGTAACTCACAAGTGTATATTTCTTTGCTCTTTGCCGTCTTTTCTTAAACATAAGAACCCCCTTTGAGTGGGGATTTGGAGCATCAGTTAACAAAGATGCAATGGTTCTACATTTGGTTCTAGCTTCTTTTACATTTTTCTCCTGGGCACTTTCACTACGGTGCAGTTCTGAAAGAGAACATGAGAAAACAATGGCTTAGTAGCTATTCTTATGAAATTAATATTGTGCATATTTATAAACTGTAATATCAACAATAAGTTTAGCACATTCTTTTAAAAAGGAGGTTCCATCATTTTTTTAAGTCCTAGGGAAATGTATACTTTGTTGTCTTGGAATCAGGGCCAGATTTTTGCATATCCAACATAAACTGTGACCCAGAGCAGCAGGACTTCCTGGGCAGTCTAATTCTGTACACCTAGAACCACACTTCTAGCAAAGTAAGGTGACATTTTGCCCTGCTCTTCATCAGTTGTAGACATAATTATGCAGAGTAATCTCTTTCAGATTTCCATCCCTGTCACTAGCATATTTTGTATAGCATTGACACCTAATGTTGTTAGCATGATGATCGGTGAGAGTGGGTGGCACAAGACAGTTGGCCTAAAGTACAGAGAGGATTAATCAAACCCTGCCTAGGATAAAGCCACAGATTATTAGAGTTTTGTACATTGGAATAATTTCATACATAAAGACCTGTTGTATCCTAGGCTCCCTAAAACATCTGATCAGTTGATAAGTATACTAGAAAACTCAAGAGACCTCAACATGGGAAGTTTTTGAATGGTAATACAAGGGTCTAAGAAAGAGCTGCACAGTAAGACATAATAGTTTACATTCACATGGACACATGAGCATAAACATCCACATGCATGTGAACACTGGAGGGAGAATCAGACTTTTGATTCCCAGATCATTAAATCACCCAATCACTCTTTAATTGTATGGCTAACTTTTGGCAAGGAGCATACATAAACCACTCTGGAAGTATTACTGAAAATCAGAGTCACTTTCAAGCCATTGTTGAAGGCAATAAAGGGGGATTGCATTACATCTGTGGTTTGTCATTGGGTATACTAGCCAAGGTTGGGCATACTGAGTTTTTTATTTAAGGTACATCTTTACTTTAAATGTATGTTTACCAAACCTGTGCTGATAAACACGACCTGTGTTTCAGCAGAAAGTGATTTTCGAAGTGGGTAACTTTGCTGCTACAGTATATCTAAAAGTGGGTGTGTGCCACCAAAGGAATGTTATAGAAAGTTTTCTTTTAATTGTAACTTTTTTTTTTCTTGGCTTTATTGGGATTTCAAATAAGCACAGGTGTGCATTATTTGTAAAGCTTACTACTCACTTAAATTGTCCTGTTGAAATAATACACTTAATTTCCGCTGTACATCTGTTGCCTGGAGAGTTGGCAATGTAAGTGGCATTACTAAAAGGAAAGATGGCATGCTGTATTTATATCATATAACGATGAGTGTACTGTCATAGATTCTGTCCTATGAAGCTGTTTACCTTAAGATAACATTTTTAACTTTCAAAAAGCAAAAAAAGTATTTTTTAATGAGTAACTTTTAAATAACCTTTTTAAATGAGTTGAGTTTACCTATATTTTGTGATATGTGCTGCAAATAAGCGATTTGTACCATTTTTTTCATTTAGTTTTTTTTTTTCATAATAATGCATGCAAAAAATTAATACACATTATTGAAAGCAAAGTTTCTGTCCCTATGAGATGGTGACAGGAGAACACCCACACAGTTTTACTTAGATGTATATAAAACACTATAAAATGTAAAGTTATTTTAATTTCATACAGATATGGTTAGGATCAGCACATTATTCAATAGATGAACTCCTGTAATTTAGAACTTTCTGCATAAAAGAAACAATAGCTGTGCCCTGAAACCAAGCAAGGGAATGACGTATTATTTTTATACCTTTCAACTACAGTTTTGGAATAATACAAAGAAAATGAAGTAGCAATCTAAAAATATAAAAATCATAAAAAAGGTTATTAAAAAAATCTTATAATTTAATGTAATGTGAACAAATATGGACTAAATTTTTTCAGATGCTTTGTATTCTACTCCAAAAAAAAAGAATGTAAAACTTTCAGTAAGCTTAAAGGTCTATCTATAACTTTCACAATGATCACCACACAGAATGGGATATTAATCTATTCAAAGCGAGTATTGCGACAACCAGGAATGTGTTACTATCAACTGAAGCAAATCAACCCACTTTAAATGCACTTCTCTTACCAAGCTCTTCACATTGTCAAGCCAGTCACTCAACACCTATGCCTTCAATGTATAAAGAGAGCCATGACAAATCAAAGTTTTCACTGTACTAAAAATATTAACATATTCATCATTTCACTCTAAACAAACAATAAGTATAAGCCGATAAAAAGAACACATTCTGTTGTGTAGCTGAATCCATTATTTTACAATTAGGAGAATTACCTGCATAGAGATTATCTGTGCTGTGGTAGGAAGATATCGGTGAATCAGGCATGACACATGCACCATTAGAATCACAATGTTCCATATAGAGCTGACCGGGGACAAGTACACTCCAAGCTGGAGCCAAACCAAAGTAGGAAAATCTCCCCAGCTCCGCACTGCCCTTTCTACAAGCCTTTTTAAGTCCCCACTTTTGTCTTCCCTGGCATAGCTGTTGGCTTCACTGGCTTGCAGAAACTGATGAGGTCATAGAGTCTATTTTTAAGTGCCAGGGCTTATCACTGAACTGGGCTATGGACATTGTCACCTGTCACTTCAGCTATGTTCCTCCACGTCTGTGATTGAGTTAGAAAGAAATATTTTCTCCCAGCAGTAATTCTTCTACCCCCCTTCCCCTTTAAAAGAAGCGTGAAACAATGATATGTATTCCGGTCTGGAAACATTAGGTCAATGCACTCAAAATACCATAGTTATCCATAAACGTCCTGATAGAAAATCAGTATTCATCTTAGCTTTGCCAAACAGAAGAGTAGAAACGTGTGGGCAATGGGGTTGCTATTGAAAAGGCATCATCGAACTTTGGGCTAGTATTTGCAGTCATAATTAGACTAAAGGAAGATTTACTAAGGATGTACTTTTTTTTTTAAGTTATTCTGCATTCACTTTAAAGACCCAATCTAGTACAGATCAATTTAAAAAAAAATATGACTTTTCTGCGCACATGATTGGTTAATTGAAGTGATTTAAAAAAGATGTACTCCTTTAGTAAACTGACTCTTCTGAGTTCTAATTAGCCGCCTTGTAATTGAGAATAAATAGTATTTTTGTGAGGAAATAATAATTTTTTTCCAAATTAATTTTTTCACAAATTAATTGATTTGTTAGGGCTGTCCCAGAAAATTCAAACAGTACATACTAGCTAACAACAGGATTGCCCTAAAGAAAAACGGAACTCTGGAATCTGTACTCAAAAAGAATTAGGCAGAGGGCAAAGGTGTAGTCACCAGAATTGTGCAAGGTCACCCTGCAGCTGCTCTCACTTAGAATGCCTTATTTTTCACTATGCCTCTGTGCAGGCAGCTATCTTGGTAGAGGCAGGGCCAGGGGCGGACTGACAACTCATGGGGCCCCCGGGCAATAGGGGATCATGGATCACAGGTCAGTCCGCCCCTGGGCAGGGCTTACTTACTCATATCTGAACCTCCAGTAAGGAGAACAGTCAACAGCAATGTAGTGACATCACCAAATTTCACTACAAATCTCCTAAGAATAGCAGTCAGAGGCAGGACTGCCTTAGATCTCATACAACAGATAGGCAGCTATAACCCTGTAGGACAGTATTAACTAGACACCCTCACATACAAGGAAGTGCACTGCTACTTTTCAGAAGAAACTCCGGACAAAAGTTAGATTTTTCAGTGTGTCCTGCTCACTGCTGCACAGTGAGGGAAATTTTCTCCCCACAGCCATTGGGTCCTTCTCATAGTGCTGATCTTCCCATGCCGCTGGAGCTAACATCAGCTGCTGCATGCATAAAAGAGTCAAAAGACTTGCTCGCCCCTTCTGTTCCTCTCCTCCATTGCAGTAATTTTTCCCAGAATGTAATTGTTTTGTGATTTGAGGAGCTGAATCCTGCCTTTCCTCTGAGTGTCCATTCATAGAATTCCTTTTGCCCTGGGAAAGAATAGTACAAGTTCTAAGAATGGAGGAGATGGGCAGAAGGGGCAGGTGAGCAGAACAGCTCTTTCACATTCACAGAGGCTGATGTAAACGCTTGAAGATCAGTGTTAGGTATATTTATGCCGAGTTGTTCCGGTGGATGGTCGTGTCCCCCACCGAGCTGGCTAGCGGTCTGGTCTTTTGTCCCGCCCACTACCTAGCCTTTATGTGGGTGTTTTACCCACAATGGATAATTATATTGTTTGAATCAATCTCCATGCTACACAGGTATCTTGGTTGTATATCAGATGTCTTATTGTCTTCTTTTTTCTTTTTCGTCTCTTTCTCTTTGTCCTTTGTCATGTGTGTTTTGTGTTTTTTTGCAAATTTTTTTCCAGGGCTCCCGGGGACCGCGGTGGATTTACTCTTCCTTTTTAGATCACCATGTCGCTGAACTGGTTATCACTGAATGTCCAGGGGATGAACTCTCCACAGAAACGGGTAAAGATATTTAAGTTTCTCCGGGCTCGCCAAGTTGACATTGCTTGTTTGCAGGAAACTAATTTTTCCACTAATTCTGACCCAAAATATTTTGATGCACGTTACCCTCAGATATTTCAAGCTAATGGCCCTACAAAACAGAGAGGCGTATTGGTCGCCTTTCATAGTAAAACTCCATTTGTCTGTGTGAGGAGTATTGCAGATCCCAATGGCAGATACCTTTTGCTCCAGGGCACGATTCATGGAATAGATGTTACTATACTGTCCTACTACGCTCCTAACGTTAACCCTGGGCCTTTTCTGTCACACTTATGTTCTCTTCTGGCTACACACCAACGGGGGCACGCTTTTGATGTCAGGGGATTCAAATTTAGTACTAAACCCTGCATTAGATAAATATCCAGTAGAGCGCTCTGACCCTTCAGCATCAGCGAAGTCCTTTGTACGCATGTTAAATACCCATGATCTGGTAGATTTATGGCGTGAATTTCATCCTCGGGGGAAAGACTACACTTATTATTCACACCCTCATCATTCTCATTCCAGAATTGACCATGCATTCGTTTCACGTAAACACCTCCCTTTGGTTTGCTCTATTTCAATTTTAACGGTTCCATGGTCAGATCATGAGCCTATTTTGGTAGTCTGCCGATCTCTCCTATGTAGGCCGGCCTCCTCATCGTGGATGATGAATGACTCCTTGCTTTCGCTGAAGGAGATTCAGACGGAGCTACATCGTAAGTCTCAGGAATATTTCCAATTAAATTCGGGTTCTGTCTCTTCTTCGGTAACGTTATGGGAAGCATACAAGGCGGTTCTTAGGGGTCATATTATCCACATAGCTTCGAGGCAAAAGAAGGAAAGACAGTTTAAACAACGTCAGTTGGAATCAAAGTTAGCTTCTGTGTCGGCCCAATTTAAACAGTCACCTTCCCCGTCGAATCGTAGAATGTTGGATCAGGCTCGTTTGGAATTGGATCTGTGCTTAACAGATGAGGCTGAGCGCTCCTTACGTTGGACTCACCAGAAATGGTATAGCAAAGCAAACAAACCAGACTCTATGTTGGCCCGTAGACTACGTTCTTTCGCGCAACATCCCAAACCGATATCTCTACGCACTCGCCACAATACCCTTACGAGCAATCCTGTAGCGGTCTTGGAGGAGTTCCGGCACCGACTAGCTAAACTCTACTCTGATCCCACTCGGGCTGACCCTCAGTCCATTTCTGACTTTTTAGCACGTCTACCCTTGCCTACTTTAACGCCGGCCCATAAGGAATTGATGGACCGTAATATTCAAATATCTGAGGTTTTGCAATGCATAGCAGACCTGAAAACGGGCAAATGTCCAGGTCCTGACGGATATACGGCATTATACTACAAGAAATTAGCTGATGTGCTTGCTCCCCACCTTGCCGCTATGTTTAACACGGTGAAAGGAGGATCGAATTTTTCCCCGGACTCCTTAACTGCTAATGTGGTTATGATCCCTAAACCGGATCGAGATCACTCTTCTTGGGCGAATTATAGGCCTATTTCTCTTATCAATATCGACATGAAGATTTTTACCAAGATCTTGGCTACTCGATTGAATTCCTTCCTTTCTCGTTTGATCAAAAAGGACCAGGTGGGATTTGTTCCCCACAGGCAGGCTGGAGATGCTATCAGACGTATTTTACAATTGCAACATTTGGCCCACACTCGCAAACTCGATATGATGCTCTTATCCTTAGACATCAATAAGGCCTTCGACACTTTATCCTGGCCGTATCTCCTATCGGTCCTTCACCGCTTTGGCTTTGGCCCTTCCTTCCTGCGCTGGATCTCTTCGTTGTACACATCTCCTCAAGCGAAGCTTAGATACTACGGATTCGAGTCTTCTACGTTCTCGGTTGCCAGAGGCACTAGACAAGGCTGCCCGCTTTCTCCTTTACTTTTTATTTTAGCCTTGGAACCGTTGGCTGAAGCCATCCGTTTACATCCTGATATTAAGGGGATTGATGTGGCAGGCTCCCAACATAAATTGTCTTTGTTTGCAGACGACATATTATTGTCAATCTCGAACCCGGGGATTACTCTGCCCAATTTGCTCGCAGTCCTCGATTCCTTTGCGACCCTTTCAGGTTTACATGTCAACCCAGCAAAATCAAGAGCTATGTCAGTTACCCTCCCACCATCATTTTTGGTTACTTTGAAGCAAACGTTCCCTTTTCAATGGCTTTCGGCATTACCATATTTAGGAATTAAGCTTACCTCGACCTATGATGGACTGTATCAGGCTAATTTTCCTACTGCTTTTCATGAGCTGACTGAGTTATTGTCCTCTTGGTCTCATTTCCCGCTTTCATGGTTCAGCAGAATTAATGCAATCCGTATGACCTATCTCCCAAAACTACTTTACCTATTCCGTGTTTTGCCAGTTCCAGTACCTTCGCATATATTGCGTATCCATCAGCGAAAACTTCTGTCCTTTATCTGGAGCTCCTCTCGACCCAGAATTAGCAAACATATCTTATTTGCGCGACGGAGTGCGGGCGGGTTATCTGTTCCGAATCTCCAGTCTTATTATTTGGCGGCTAACATTGCCCCCTTGGCTCATGTTCGTGCATCTCATCACTTCCCTCTGTGGGCTGTTGTGGATATGATGGACTCTCACCTGATACCGCTCTCCTCCTTGCCATGGCTTCCTACTTCTCAACGTCCATCTACCCTTAGCCCAATGCTGACGTTTTCGTTACGTCTTTGGGATTCTATCAAATACTCCGCTGCCTTATCTCTCCTCACCTGCCGCTGTTACGTCTATTACATAACCCATTATTCCCTCCGGGTAGGGATAATCCTAGACAGTTTGCATGGTGGCAGGCGCATGGTTTTTATGATGTTCACTCACTTTTATCTCCCACTAGAATAATTACCTTTGACGCT